TTTTTTTTTTTTTTTTTTATATTATTATTATTATTCTCTCGTTAATAACAGAAAATATGCGGCAGTAAAAAATTAATAAGCGAATTTTACGCGAAAAAAATTGCTATTTATTATCGGGCGTTTCGTCTTCTCGCGTTTTTACGGTATTTTTTTTTTTTTTTTTTTTTTTTTTTATGTGAACCATATAACGGCGTTTCTTCGACAGTCATAACCCCGCGATGGTAATTTCGTTGTGTACGTATAAAAATAAAAATATTATGTTCGCCCCGACAAAAACGACGATTTTGATAATATCATAAATAATAATATTATTATTAGGTATTGTTATAATTTCAAACATTTGTGTATCATAACAATTTGCGAGTATACACCTATACGTCGCCGGGGATAGCGGAAACAAAATCGAGTTTCCGAATGCGCGTGGCAATAACAAATTATTATTGTCCGGTCTGCCGTCGCACACTTGGCTAGCTTCTTGTTTAACTCACCCACATAATTGACTCCTTTTAGAGAATTTCGCGTTCAAAAGGCGATCGCCGTGCCGGTTTGCGTCTGAAAAGTCTGCAAGAGGGCCTATTAAACAACTGCAGCGACTCGGCCGGTTAAACTCACAATCAGACTTATAGTTGGCCGTTGAACGCCACCCCGACAATTCGGCCGAAAACGCTGCCAATCTCATTAATATTGATGAGATAGGACGTTGATGATCTATAAAAAAAGTACCAAAAATGACCCCAAAGTAAAAAGGTTTTAACGATACATAAAAAAAAAAAATTACAAAATTGTTAAAAATGAATTATTTATTCGAAAGGAACTTTTATTAACCAAAAATATTATACTATTAGAGTTGCTTTTATAATAAATTTAAAATATTTGTATCGAAACTATACAAGCGCAACCCTCGACTATATAATAAAACAATACAATTATATGTTTAAAAAATATAAAACTGTTCTTTGGAATCTAAAAAAAAAATAATAATAATAATAATAATAATAAATTACTCATAAAAAAAGAAACGGACTTATAGCTATATAATATAATCGTATAATAAATATGTATAAAATACCCAAAAGATACGAATGAATAACATTTACAGAATATTGTGAATCTAAGAAGCACGAAACGAGTTTTTTTAAGCTAAGATAGCGATGTAAGATATTAAAGGGATAAAAAATATGCAATAGTCATCAACATCCTACGTCTACTCGTTAAAAATATAAACTCGCAGCCATTAAAAACACTACGTTATTCGTCGTGATTTAGCCCTACATCAAGTCTACTTTCGAACCTGCACGTTACCGGATGTTAAAAAATAACTGTTACACGCCCAACCGATCCGATATGGCACTTCGGGTTTGTATCTAATTCGTTTCTACAATATTATTACCTCAAGAGGACGCTGTCGTACCCGGTGTCTCCGCGATATGCGAACCGAATTTCGCGCAACAAATTTTCGTTCAGCCGCAACAGCCCTGTGCCGTCGGTTTTAACGTGTCAGAGTGAATTGACTTGTTAACAAACTTGAAATATAAGAAAATTGTCTATACCGTGGTCGTTTTTTAGACGCGAAGCGATCGGTTTAACTATGATGTATACTTTTTGTTTTTTTTTTTGTTTTTTTTTATCTGTAGTAAACAACTTTTCGAAAAGAAATCTTTCTCCGGTGTATAGATTATAGTACGGTATCTTTTCTGAAAGGAAATTTTTAAAAGGTCACTGTTTGGTTTTCCAAAGGGGTTTTCGAAACAATCGGGAAAAATCCCGAAAGAAAACTACAGGTAAAACCCAAATATTTACGTACGGCTCACCGTTTTGATTGTTTGTAATTTTCAAGCGAGATACGAACACGGTAAATATCGTGATTTTTAAAATGCTTGTATTTCGCCAAAAAATTACGACACGATACAGATAATGTTCCGTAAGTTCGATAATTCGAACGGGAATTCGCAGTGTATGGCGTCCTCTTATTATACAAACACCTACCTATAGGTTTCTGTTTCGTGTAAAATGTTTCTAATTTGTTCGCTTACTATTGTTTAACGTATAGAACTCACCGATATTAACATGGATAAATAATTTTAGTTCGAAATTTTTCGAAACTCAAGGCCCAATATTAATTTGAGACGGCTGTTCGACACGGGTAGTGAATATTTTCCAAACGTAATTCACACAATAAACAGCCGAATTTACCCGTAACAAATTTCGCGTATCAGTGTTTTCGGTGTCGGCGAATTTCGGCCTGATCCCTAAATCAAGTGCGAGTTGCGGCCCGGGCTTACGAGACACTGGACAGACGTACGGATTTCGGCCACACAATACTAGTAATTATCACCACTTCATATTACGTATCGACCTATTATAGCGTTACCCGTCAAAGAGCTTATTTTAAGCGCATTCTCCCCGTTTTCAATTTATTACTTCTGAATTTCGGATTAAACGTCAACAAAGTTATAGATTTTAGGACGGCCCGCGGTATCGAACGATATGACGCGTAATATTGTTTATCGTCCGTCGTTATGCAATTTAGATTAGATACCGGTCGGTTCTGATTCGGTACATTATAAATAACAGAATTTAATATAAATATATCAGCGATAAAGTTTCTAGATAAAAAGGGGGTCTTCGGACCGCCGCCAACCTACAGCCAAAAGGTTTACCGGACCGGAATTCACCGGTCTCGACATCGAAAATTATACGCCGGGCCGCTACTCACCTATAGCCCCCGTATTTTAGGTAGCTGGTAACGTATAAATTTATAATACAGTATATAAATCAAATTTTTAAGAGGTATAGGATATTGGTTGCGCGTTAAAATTTCGACGCGTAACACATCTGAATTAATAATGGGTATTCTCGTCGCGGAAAACGCGGGCAGGGAGAAAAATGGTACTTAAAATATGTATGGCGTTTATGGATGCACATATTTAATACGCGTTGAGTGATGGATAGTGAAATTTATTATTAAACTCGTCGACACCGAAGACGAAATTAATATTAATTATGCTTCCCATACGCGTTTTGATTGTTTTAGTCTTTTAAAATAAAAGAAAATACGAGTAGAATGATTTATCTCCGCGGCGAAACCTACTTGGTCGTCGCTCGTGATATCAATCAAAACATTATAAGATCGTATTTAACGACGGTTCCGATTCCGAGTCGGCGAAATTAATTTACATTCAATGGGGGTTTTATACAATTTTTCGACACGCATTTTTCCGTTATCGTATGGATCGAGCGCAAAAATAATAATTTGTTTGATTATGGTTCGTTTATTATTTTTTTTTTCAAGACGCGATTTTATGATAACCGCAATACGCGTGATTAGAGTCTACGCCATGTTTTTTTTTTTTTTATCAGCAACAATATTTGATCATCAGGACCGAAACTATTTACCGGTGCATTAAAAACACACACGTTTTTACCGCTCATATTATAACAAAATACGAGTATTGAATAATTACCAACTAATATATAATTAATTATTAAATAACAGTTACTCGAATGAAGTTGTTAGCAATATAATTATTATCTAAGGATGCACAGTATAGGGGCTGTGTTAAAGTTACTCTGCATCGATTATTTATACGTACATTTGTATTTGTTTGGATTCAATCATATTTGATAAGGATAGTAATCACATTCAATAAGCAATCATAGTGTTATGACGTCACACTAATCTTGCGTGTAAAACCCGGCACCTAACTAGTAAGTTAATGCACATTTCACTTCGTCGCGCGAAAACCGATCATTGGGAATATTTTTCAATTTACGGATTTCGAAAACGTATACAATCTCTGAAGGATTAAAAAGTCATAAAAAGCGTTATCACTCATAACCGATAAAAACGACTAATACGATTTCCGAACTCGTTGTATTTTTCGTATCAAAGTTCAACATGGCTTTTTGCTTTTTTTTTTTTGAAAACTCCCATTATCTTATAGAACACCCGTCAGCACGTATAGATGCATTTTTTATAATGAAAAGTTCCGTCAAGCCACCGAACACTATCGAGGCGAAAATGGGACAAATAGCCGTGGCCGTTTTGCCGGAGAGACATGTTTTCGGTGTAGTTATCTTATTATCATTATCTTATCTCAAAATTTACACTTTTTTCGCAAAATGAAAAAAAGACGATACCGGAAGGCTAAACAAAAATGCTTGAAACGGACGCCCAAGTACGTTTTCCACACGATATTTGGAACCTTTAGAATAGTGTTTCCCATGATAGAACAAATAATCACGCAGAAACCGCGAATTTAAATGTTGAAACAAGAGAACGTCATACAACTATTTGGGCTTTTATTATTTGTTTGGAGAAAGTTCTAACGGGTCGTGATTTTTTTTTTATCCCCAGTTAACTGCAAGGAAAATCTCATTAAAAAAAAAATGCAAAAAATATGATGGTACAGATAGACGCAGTTGAAAAATAGTACAGCAATACGGCAGTAGAGGTTATATTTCATATTTTAATAATATTTGGCTACCTAATAAGAACTAACGACTAATTAAGACGTAATTATTTTTAACAATTCTTTTGCTGGAATTTATTAATACGCTATAACGGAATGGCGAAATAAATTAAAAAATTCTTTGTATTTTTTTTTTTTTGCATTTAATCATTATAATATTATTTAAAACATTTTTAATGTCCGCGGCAAAACGGCCGAATTGAAATGACCACGGCGAATCGTCTCAGACGCCTAGCGATAAAAGTGGTTTCGAGCTCCGTGCCTATCCGACGACTAATCTAGGAACTGCTGAAAAATTAACTGTTCTTGAATTCACGAGTTTTACGAGTTCGGTATTACCAGATTTTTATTGCAAGCGTAAGGCTAAAGTGTACAACGTCTGTCATTAGATCCCGATTGCATTTCGTGTTTGGCGAATAAACGAAAGCGGGTCGAAACGATTTCGGGTGCCTACGAAATAGGTTCTTGCGTCTCGTGCTACACTACAATACGGCGTTTTCGGCATTCGTGGCGACGAAACATAGTTAGCGGACGGACGTGTAATATGGACACGGTGTGTGGAGATAAAGATTTTATACACTTTGTATTATCGCTTGAAATTACGTAGGTTTATAGTCGGGTACACGCATTTGTCTTCGGCGTTACATAACAATAATGGTTATTATTGTTCCTCAAGCACCTGCAGCTGTTTCTCTTGTTTACGAGTTCAAACGTTGTAACTATACGTACTACACATTATATACAACAAAATCGCAGTGTCACGGGCGTAAAAATAAAAAAAAAAAAAAAAAAACTCTTTAAAAAAATGTGTATCGTACAAGATACCAATGTGCTTTAAAGTTATTATTATAATAATGTTCCGAATAAATATAGATACGTACAGATAATAATCGATATCACGTGCGGATAAAGTTCATAGAAATTCACGTTTTACTCAATTTCATGAAAATAAAAAAATATATTTCGGAGTCCTTCACTCCTCATCGCAAACGAAAAACAATTTTGAGCGACGAAAACATTTTCTTGATAAATTTGATTTCACACAGTTCATTTGATTTTATCTTCGACATAAATCGCTTTTTTTTTACATAAAACCCTTATAATAATAAATTACGATATTACATCGAACTTTTAGATTTTGAGCGAGGAATTTATATTGGTTTTACTATGATGTGCAATTTGTCTGCCTATAGAACATTTCTACCCGAAATCTTGGTTCGATCATCAAGTGTACAATACTTTCTTAAAGAAAGCATTATCCAGTTGGTGCGTTGAGGAGGTTATTTTTTTGATTTTCTTTCAAAACCATAAGACCAAATTATGCGTTTATACGAAGCCAAATAAATTGTATACACATAAAATTTTAAAAAAATAATTTAATTTCAAATGTTATTAATAAATATTCGATGAAAATAAAAAATCTTTAAGATTAATTTGCACTGTAGTATATTACAATAAAACAAAAAAGTCTACTGTAACAGAAAATGTTTTTTCGACGGTTTTTTCGGATTTCCTTCATTAAAAAAAAAAAAAAAATTCAAAAAAAATCAATTGCACGGACTAGAAGACAATTTCTTTTTTACTCAAAAACACCACTAAAACTGATGAAAGGAGGAAGATTTCTGGTTGAAAAGTAGTTTATGGGCCGGAGAAAACCACTTCATAACAGTAAATCCACTGAATACCTTGTTTTGTTTCGAATTTAAAATGACAATTTCTTTTTGATGATGGAAAATGAGTTTTAATAATCAGTGCTGAATAAAATATTTAGATAATGCGACTGGAAATATAATTTAAAGTGTCGTAGAATAACATACAATGTGTGAATACTGATAATTTGAAACAGATTACTGTCACAGGCAACTGTAATAGTCTAAAACGTTCTAATAGTTTGAAAAATATTTAAACCTTTAAAATTGATGTATGATAATACAGTATAGTAACATGATATCATATTATGTACTTAAAGTATAAACGTGCGCAGCACATCAACTCGTTTTTCAGAAATTTTTACGTACAATTTGTTTGAACTGTTTGAAGTGGAACGCGCGGGACGGTACACATATTTGAATTTTTATCAAAATGCATTTTCATTTGAACATCAAACGTTAAATATAAAATAATTACTACGTTTCACCGAAATTTTTTTTCGTCACTAATTACAACTCGGGATAAACATTTTGTTAAATATTAGAGTATTTTCGCTGGTTCAAAAGAATTGTAATCACAAAACAACAAATAAAAACCTTAAAAACTCTAAAACGTCAAATTGCTATAAAGAACTGAAAAATGTCCAGAATGTCTTGAAAAGTGTACTATGTTCTGGTTTCTACGATCAATTTTCACCGACTCGCGAAAAAAAAAATCGAATATAACAGAAATCGCTTTTGTTTAAATTCTACAGTTGTCCTGACGTTTTTTTCTCGAGTTTTCTTCCTATGGCACTATTACGCTAGTACTACAAAGAAAATCAAAAAACGGACGTTTCTACCATTAACCTTCACATCTAAAGTTCTAACGATCGGAATAAGATTTCTGGTAGGACATTAGTAAAAGAAACAAAGAAATACCGTATTAATCAACGATTACTGTTATGATTGCCGATCGGTAGGTACATTGGACATCATCACAATAGTTCCGAATGTAAATATGTGAGCAGCAAAAGTTATACTGCCGTAGCGTTATCAGTTTTTTATATATATATATATGTGTATATATTTTTTTTTATTCGTAAATCGTTGAATTTTCTTTGAACAATGGCGTTTGATAGTCGGGTCGAGTTCGATAATAGCGAGGGGTAGCTATGGTTTGATTCGAGTCGTACAACAGTCCCGATATTGACGCGTGTCGAAATCCGGGGCGTACAAGAAAAACGAAACGGAGAAACGGACGACGGCGGTGACGCGGATATTGTCGCCGCCGAGTGAAATCCACCGCGCGCGCGCGCGCCTTTTTTCTCCGGGGCTCAAGCGCACGTACTCAACAGGAAACTCGGTAACGCGGCGGCGGAGAGGTCGCGACGGCGATGATAATAATAATAATAACCGATATTAGGTGCCCACCTATATGCGGGGAAAATATAGGGGAGCGAGTGGAGGACATCAGAACGGTATACGGGGGTCGACGGAGGCGGGAGACGCGAAGGCGGTGGCGGGATAAGATAAAAACGCGTGTTGCGATTTTACTACTTTGCCCGAGCGCGTCATCCCTGCCAGCAGTCGCCCGTCCCCGCGGCCGGGTGACGGAGCGCGGCGCCGGCGGCGGCGAGGCGGCGCTGTCGGAGGCCGCCGCCGGGGGATTAATCAATAATATTTTGTTTTCACTGCCGTAGAAAACACGGCGTACAATGGTATACGGTGTACGAAAACACGTCTGTATCTATAACACTGTTCAACAAGTATTCGACGAGAAATCCGAGTGCGGGCGCGCGAAATTTTATCGCCGGTTACGGCTGCTCGCCGGCGGGACACTGTGCGTACGCACGCCCGATCCTCGGGCCCTCCCCCCCCTCCTCCCTCACCGTCGCCGTTTCTGTCCGGGCCGCGTAACCGTGACGGGGGCGTGATACGGTCCGACGCACGGCGGCTCGAAATTGACAAGACACGGCCAAAACTCAACATGCCGTCACGGTTTTCCAAGAGGCGAACGTGGGCAAACACGGGCAGCTAATGTGAACGTTCACCGACATTGATGTTTGAAATATATAAATTGACGTGAAAATCGGTGAAAAGATTGGCGGAAACCGTACGTTATTAACCGTATTACTGATGCTGTAACGAGTATGCATTTGTTATCACTGCAATCAATAATAAGTGCAGATACAATATTGCTATAATAACGACGATGAATACTCTAATAGCCTCTATACTGATAATAACCACCCACCCCATGTTAATTGTATTTCTACGGTCTGTCATAGCGTACAAAAACCTAAAGTAATATCGAAATTGCAAACATTGTATCGGTAGAAAACAATTTTTTTTTCTTCAAACATAAATTTGAAAAATAAAAAGTTATATATTTTTTTTTTTTATTAAGTTGGGCATTTTTTTAATGGGCATAGATGGGCTAAATGGGCATAGAAAGTATTATTTTTATACAATAGTTTGCAATTTTTTGAAAATTTCAAAAATCACTTTTGGCCATCATTTTTTCGATTTTGAAACACTGTGCGACGGATGAACGCGATCGGATCGGATCGATCCCGCATTACGATCTCGCGTTTCACGGCCCAAAAGCAAAGAACTAAAGTATTAACGTTATAACCGACGTAATAACGTTGCACGCGACTTTACGGGATTCACGGACACAACGAAAAATATCTGTTCTAGGACAACGAGGACGGGCGCAGCCGCCGCCGCTCTTCCCCTAGGTAACCCGGCAGGGCCCGTCGATTGGTTGATGAGAAATTTCGCAGCAACACGTTTACGTTAAGTCAACATTGTTTACGGGATTGTCAACGCGGGGTCTTCGCGTGTAAAACGAGGGAGCGGTAAGTCGTTTCACGTCTCACCTCTCCCTCATCCCCGCACCCCACCCCCCCGCCCGGGTAAACGGAGGTGAAACTGGCAACAGCGACGGTTTAGAGCGGCCCGTTTCTTCGGCCGTCGGTTTTATAAAAATCCGAAAAAAAAAAAAAACCCAATACTCGCCGAGGTGTCAATTGCCGCGGATCGCGAACACGGTATTCGCCGCGGTGAAAACGCGCGACGCCGCCGACAAGACTGCGGCCAGCGCCGTTGTTCTGCGCGTGATTGCGGGCGGCCCGTCGCGTTTTCCGGATCGCACGCGCTCCGGCGCGGGAAACCCGCCGGAAACCTCGCACTTTGGGCATCGCCAAAATGCGCGAGGCGCGCGCGTCGACGCGATAACCGACTGCGCCGCGTTATCAATTGTCGTTGGCGAGAAACCGAGACGCCACCGGCGTGCACCGCGTACGTCTCGTCAAAACGCGCTAAAGTAGTTTAAAACGATTTCGGCGAGCGGGCGAGTGGGGCGTGTACCGCGGCGATGTAATAGCGGCACGCGTTAACGGCACTATTTGCGTTCGCCGGTACGAACTGACGGGAATACGCCGGCGTTGCGTTCGGATAACCTAACCGTCGGTACGTGATCGATGTAACGCGAACCGTCCGTGTATTGTACGATCCGGGAGAGCGTTAACAGTGTCCGAAATGTTCGAATTCGCGGACGGTGCGAGAAATAACGTTTTGTCGAATTCCCCTTTAAATTTTAAGCAGATCCAATACGCGACGTTATCACTTTCGATTCCCAGTGTCGTGGTGGCGAACGTATTGGTTTTAGAGAGATGTATTTTTTTTTTTTTTTTATACATACAGATACGTATACGTACATACCGAGTACGAAAATTCTACCGAAAATCTTGCTGCTGCGAAGCGTCGGGTAAGCGACCATTCTTGAAAAGGAACTATTCTGAGACGGTGCTTACGGGAGATAGTTTTTTTTTGTTTTCCCGGAAGTTTTCCCAAGAAACGAGAAAAACCACAGGACAATGTGCGAAATGTATTATTTGAAAATCCTAAATATTACAGCCTTTTTTTTTCTGCCAGAACTTTTCTACCAGAAATTTCGCTCCTATTGACAATGAAATAATTTTTGTCTGAAAGTGAAATCTGACAGTGGTAGTACTTTGGGGAGGTTATGTTTTGATGTTTTTCGTGAGTTTTTCAAATAAATGAGAAAAAACATAGGAAAAACTTGGAAAATCGGAAAAATAGATGCAATTGGAAATAAATATTATTAAAGAAATTATATAATGCATATATAATTATTTTACCATAATTTGACATACGAATTGTTGACAAAAGTAACAATATTAACCGAACTCCACTCAGAATCGTTTTTCGTTTGAAATGTTTAACGGATGGGAACAGACTATAGATATATATATTTGATTTCCCCTATAACTTCCCAATTTCTTACCTACAACATTGGTCCACGTGCGAAATATGTCCGTCTTTATTTTTTTTTTCATCTTATTTTTGAAACCATCTTTAATACATTTTACTTATCAAACGGCAATCTATATTGAAATGCAATAAATATTTAATATTTTAGCTGTAAATACATTTGGGGATTGACATTTTTAATTTTCGTCAAAACTTTGAGGAAATATTCCACTTTTAAGTTAGTAATTGTGTGGGACGGACTAGAGAGAGGGTAATGGAGTCGGAGCGTTTTTAAAGTTTTTTTTTTTTTTATATTGCTTTAATTATCTTTAGTAGTTTTGACGTCGTGTCTCACAACCGATTCTCCAACTATCCATTGCCAAATCGTTCGAGTATAGTTCGCCCCTAACGCTCCCGCGTTTTTTTTACTTCGTCCTCATCCACGGCCATCCATCAAAGGTCATTTCACTATTGCGTCGTATTGTAACACTGTCCATAATAGTAATAGTAGGCTTAGGTTCCAGCCCACCGCAGTCTTCCTTTATTGACGAACTCTAAAATATTCTTTTCTCCGAACTTTTCTTTACTTTTTTCAAACCCAGAATTTGTAGATTTCAATCAAACTCACGGGCGCCAATATTTTCGAGCAAATATTATTCAGTTTTGCGTTTTACACACACCCAATATATTCCAATATTATGTACTTGCTTAAATTTATTCAATCTCATAATATTATACAAAGCGAGTTGCGTTTCACCCATCTAACCTAACCACAAAGCCCTATTGACATAATAATAATATTATTATGCGTATATGAGAGACGGTATAATGTTATGACGCGATCCCGGAGTTTTTTTTTTTTTTATTAACTCTACAATATAAAGTTTACCTCTAGATTTTGTATTCAATGCAGTAATCTTAATATTAAATGTCATAGTATTATATTACGTAGGACGTTTAGGTGCGTAAAACGTAAATATTTATGTGTCAATCACTACAAAAAAAAAAAAAAAAAAAAAAAATTGTAAATAATAAATAACACTATGCATACACATTATGCTATTATTTTGTTATCATTTAAATATTCCTTATGAATTGTATTTAGGTAGAGTGGCTCGGACGTCACAATTAAAGTGGGCATCTTATTCTTTAAAGACATTTGTAGTAAAATAGTTTTTTTTTTTTTTTTTTATTAATATCCCACAGTTTACAACCGCTAAGAAGGAGACTAAAAGACACTATTTAACAGTGTGTTTAGAACACAACGTGTGCACAGTAAAGTGTACACCTCTAAATTAAAAAAAAAAAAAAATGTTCTTACGATAAGACACAGTTTCTATTTGCGTGAACAGTAATCCAAGGCGTCAAAAATGTAAATACATCTCTGTCGTCTACGCTGTTTCGGTACGCGACATTCATAATTCATGTATACCGCAGTCGACAACGGTATTATTATGGGAATCAATTAGATAATTTGTGGTTAAATTATTCATTTATTATGTCTACGTTTTGAAATGTTTGAAATTGCCAACGGAATAAAATTATCACTAGGAGCGAGTAACTAATACAACAAGGGCGAAAGTAACGAATGATAATGGATGTGTGAGACAGTTGTACGTTTTAATATTTGGTAGAATGGAGCAAACTTTACCGGATTTGCCAACTGTCAGTGCACTTAACTCTACTGTAGGCGAAACGTTAGAATTATAGGATGTTTAGAGTTTTTTGATTTATACCCGAAGGCAACGATAAATCATTACTAATGAACCACGATTCTGAGCAAAATTCAGTTGTGTGCGTTATGAAATGCCGTAATTATTATAATTTTCGTCAAAATTAGAATTTGAAACGCTTACATTTTAAACCACTACGTTATTATTATTATTATTTTTTTACAACTAAATTCGAACTACGATGCACATCGTGAAGAATCTTCATCCAAAACTGCAAAATTGTTCACCCACACGGTATAATACACATGAACAAAATAAAAACTAAATGAATTCAAAAATGTCAAATGTCTAAAATTAACTCATATATAGACGGGATATTTTGAAAATTTTAACGCGTCTCGGAAATTCTAATATAATTGTTCTATCTCAGGTTTCTAAGATTATTTTTACCCAAATTACTTAGTATAAAATAATGGAACCTTCATTTCTTTACACTTTTCCGGTTTTCCCGAGTTTTTCCAGTTTTTGAAAAAAACCGTAAAGGAAATCAAAAAATCACTTCCTCATTTCACCAATTAGATCAAACATTTTACAAATAAGCTCTGTTATTAGTTTTCGGTTGGACCAAGATTTCCAAGAAAGTGAACAATTTTTTATAGACAAGAAAAAAACAAACAAATTATAGTAAAACCAATCAATTTCTCACTACGCTCAGGTTCTAAAAAACCATTGTATCGCTTTGCGAAAAATAACCTTAAGCAGTTGGTATATTGCTGTTTATCGCGCTTACAAAGAAATGGTGTATACACATTTTGGTGGCATTTATATTTTATATTTTAAAAAGTTAAAAAATCGTCTTTAAAAGTCGTAAAAATCCGAATTGATCGAAAAGTCCAATTGAACGCCCAATAGTTCCCCCCTACTTCAATGCCACTGATACTGATTACCGTAGATTTAATACCTAAATCGTAAATTTTCTGAGCAAAGCTACTATAAAATAAAAATTGAAGTTAACGATTTGTATGATTTTATCGTTTAAAGCGTAAAACTTTAGTGCTATAAATGTATAAGGAATTTATATAAAATATGTATGATTTTTAATATACTTCTCGGCGAATGATAAAATGGTCATAATATTTGAGCAAGAATATGACGTATATTATGTATTTATTATGGTAACAATGTTATTATTAAAAAATAAAATGAGAAAAAATATTCTTTGAAATTAATTTTAATTAGGTTTAGTACCTGTATAAAATGTGACATTTTAGAAGTTTAATACCGATGACAAAGGTTCGTTTTATTTTTATACTAAAATTCGTTTTTCCCTTAATGTCTGTAGGTAGACAAGAAGAAATTATAAATTAATTATTATTATAATAAAAAAGTGCCCTTTTTTTTTTAAGGGGGGAAAAAGAGTCGTTGTTAACTGTAACACACTTTCCGTATCGATTAGACAACTACAATATGGTTACCTTTTGTCATGAGCTATTCAAATTTAAATTCACTCGCAGAGTTTATTTCCTCAGTTCGTCGGTATTTATTATACTTGTATAACTGAAAAAGAATAATATAAAAAAAAAAAAATACAAAAAAAAAACCCCCACAGCATTTCTTTCAAAGGTATAGAAAGGTTTAGTGGATAGTTTTTAATAGTTATTATATTTTTATAAAACTCTAATTTCGCGTCATTTTACTACGGCACGGTATAGTGGATGTAATGAATTTTTAGTGCGTGTAGGATTATTAAAAAAAAAGACGGACATACTTCGCATGATGGTTGGGCCACTTTTGTAGGTGAAAATTTAGGAAAATAGGATAACATAGAAGGGAATTAAAAGTATATTTGCGCGCGTTGATTAACCATTGCTAACTAAAAACGATTCTAAATTGAGTTTTCGTAACAATTTGAGAAAACCCGGGAAAAAACGGGAAAATGTACTTACATGTACAAAAGAAACTTCGTTCCGAATCGTTTTTGGTCAGCAACGATGTTTATTGTTGCGTACAGATATGAATTGAATTCACCTCTATATCCTATCTTCCCACTTCTCCCCCCGCAAAAGGGTCCCACCCTGCATTCGAAATAAGCGCGGCATTTTTTCCGAATTCATTAGTTTCACTACTGTCTAGCTAAAATACAAATATCATTGAGCATCACTCAATAAGTTACGTTCAATATAAATATTACAATATCTTGCCGAATGTTCGTATTGTTGTGTATTCTTCAATGTCCATTCTTTCGTCATGGTCAAGTTTAAAAACCACCAAACCGTATACGTGTCCAGGAGTAGTTTATTCGCCACTCGCCCGATCCGTTTCGAAATTACTATTAAATCGTTTGATTTCACAATGGTGTTAAGAACATTCTCTCCGGTAATAACCCTCGGAAAACAATATTCCTTCCTGCGCCAGCGATTACGGCGAGGATACACAGTGTGTTCCACGAACATCTGACAAACGCAGTAGCTTTTGTTCCACTCGACACTTTTAAATTTCTCTTTTTCGTGATAATCACGGCCACGGGCTTGATCTCTGTATTATAAATCGTGTTTTATTTTATTTTTTAACTGAATATACAGAATGTATTTACAAAACCGATTATTCGTTTTTAAATTTATTTTGAATATTAACCTCATTCCCTTGTTTGTGTTATATTGTCGTCTACTTGTGGCATATAAAAATCCTGTACTCGCTGTTTTAAAAATAATTAAAGAGTTCAAGGAAGTGTCCATTTTTTTTTTTTGCTCAGTATTTTCACTATTTATTTTTGGTATATTAAATATTTTTAAGTGTTTTTAATGCTATAGTGAAGATGCATAAACGGTTTTGAAAGTTTTTTTTTTTTTGTTGAATTGAAGTGCTACTAGTCGGCCAAACCCTGCAACTGCAATTATATTATACTTGTACAACGACGACGACGGCGATAGGCGTGTTCGTTTTTTATTGTTCTTCCATACATACAGAGTGTCTCACAAACACAATATCCCCATCGCGATATCTCCCGAGATAATGAAAACAATCGAAATCTTCATTTTTTTTTTTTTTCTTTTTTGTAATCAATAAATATTGTTGCTGCCGGTAATTATTTAGAAGGAGAAAAAAATAAACCGGAATTCGATTATCTCCAGGGAGATTTAATCTCGACGGGCAATATCTTCTACCCCGTACAGTGATAATAACAATAATAATATTATCGTCGTCGGGAATAATTGACTGCAAACGTTTTCCACACCATCGACCGTCGTCGCATCACTCTATCTCTTTCTCTCTCGCTCTCTCTCTCTCTCTCTCGCTCTCTTTCTGTCGTTCAATTTATCTTTCTATTTCCATCACTCGGTCTCTCTCTATTTCTCTCGACCGTGCACGCGTGCGACGGGCGGGGGTGAAAGCCGACGTATAAAAGAACTTTTCGCGTTCATATATCATTATTATATAGGGAATTATTAATGTATTTCACCGCGCACGTACAACGACTACAACAACAACAACAACAACAACAACGACAACAGGCGTCGTCTCCCCCATTCTCTCTATCTGTCTCTCTCCGTCTATCTTTCCCGTCGACCGCCGTTGTAGTCGTCGTTCGTTTGGGTCATCAACTCCGGGCGTAATTCGACCCGACGTCCGTTTTATAAAACGAAAACTCGTATATTCCGCGGGGAGCGGACAAGAAGAAGTAACGCATTATTATATTCATCGAGGACGAGTACCGCGTGCGCGCGCGTGTTTGCACGGCATAAAATATGCGAACGAGTTTATTTTATGCGTCGCCCGCGTACGAGTCGTAGCGTCCGCCCCGTTCGCGAAACGCGAGGGAAACACACTGCCGGGCGCGCACGACCGCGTGTCGTTATCACGCCGTGTACGCGCGCACGACCGCGCGTACTATACGCGTGCGCGCGTTATCGCGGACGGCCGAGTTCGGGTGCTCCGACTGCGCGCGTCGCACGGGTGTACACCACGCGTGAATTGCGGTACGCGTGTGCGCCGCGCGTTGTCCGACTGTACAATACGCGCACTGCGTGACGCGCGCGACAACGCGGGGGCTGTCGGGTGTTTCGCCGTCCGTCCCCGTCCCCGTCTCCCCGGACCGCGGTCCCGACCCGCCCGAACGCGGAAAGCCGTGTCCGTCGAACGGCCCGACGGAAACGACGGCGGCGGCGGCGGTGGCGGAGGCCGCGAATTCGACGCGTGCAAAGGCCGTGAATGTGCCGTTTGAAACGCGGGCGATAAAAGGGAAAAACGCGCATTCAAAGTCACAAAGAACGCCGTAAAAAAACGCACCCGAAACGGTTTTCGATTTGATTTTTATATCAATTCCGATACGTTACCGACCGTTGTCATACGCCGCGTGCCCACAAATAACTAATCTAACCAATGCCGCATTGTTTTATCGAGTCCTTTTACAGAGTTACCTAACCCTATTTGCGGATTGTGTGAAATATTATTTTTTATAAAATATAAACTTGACGTACGCGCACGTTATACAGTCGTAAACAAAAAATATATGCGCAAAGATGTTTACCGACGGGATTTCATTGAAAATGAACTAATATAGGAAAATACGACTAAAAAGTTCAAAGAATGACCTTGAAAATTAAAATCGTCAAAAAATGCAAAATAAAAGTTTCATAAATTACTTCGTCGTTAAATAATTCCAATTATGTACTTTAGCTACGTTCAACAATTTTTTTGCGTATTAACAAAAGCGCGTTTCGTTAATTTCGGAGATAAACTTGCGTACTCGTATTTCATCGATTTTTGTATATTTTTACGCGCATTTATTATGCATAATTATACTTGCTAAACAAATTGATGATTTTTTTTTTCTTTCTCAACATTGGTGTTAATTTGTGTCGAGGTGTTTTAAATAATATTGAATATAAAACTCAATATTATTTAACGTAGTTATTTATTGTTGTTTCTTATCTTCTCAGTTTATTATTAATTTAACGACAACCGTGCGATTCGGATTTAATCTTTATCTTTTTTGTGCATACTAATAATGACTTTATGTGCTTTTGAATAATAAACTTTGAATAAGTTTTTGCACATGTCTTGTATTTGTTTTCATATTTGACATTTTGTCGTGCCCGTTTTCCCTTTTTTAGTTTCTATAACATCCAAACCTTAATAATATAAAAGTGTTTAAAGGTAAAATCCCCCTCCCTCTTCCCAAAGGTATATTATTGGTGCTGACGCCGTGAATATAAAAAAATTCAACCGCCTGGCTTCATTCGGGGAGTCCGTATAAGGTTGTGCAAATCTAAAAAAAAAACCCTCCACTCGCAATGATACGGTCGAATTCATAATGAAACGAAACCCAACTTTTATTATATCAATCCGTTTGCAAAACAGCTCTGATTCCCGAATTTGAGCTCATTTGGCCCAGAGAACCGCTTCAAATGTCCAAAAGTAACGGGGAAAAGACAAAATATAATGTATAATAGAAACAATACAATGGACACCAAATCCCGGGCCCAGGGGTGCCTTAATTTAGTCGTTTAAGTCGTATAAGGGGCACCGGCATGCTGCGAAAACAAAATTGTCTGCTTCTGTGTTAACAACTGATTACTGAGTTCGCTGTTATCAGTCAACTATCGTTAATGTTTTGTTAAATGTCGTATTATGATTGTTTTATGGTCAATTTGTGAACAGCTATGCCGAATGTATGGATACATTCCTTGTTTATTCAGGTAACCTGACGTGGAATAAATTAGTGGATGTTGAACCGATACAGCCCTTTTATTTCTAATATCGAAAGTGTCGAAATATTGAACGATGAATCATGAATGTATAACCTTTTGAAATGTGTGCTATTGCCCGAAAAAGTCCATTGATTCGTCATGTAAAATGTTATCTTTTAAAAGACACCTATATTATAATATTTTTCTACTAAAGTTGACTGCGATTTTGAAAACGCACTTGTCTCTGGACTTGTCAATTATTCCGGAAAATGTTTTTTTTTTTTTTTTCCGGCTTTCAGACGCATAAAAACTCTTCGGGGTCTACAACCAACTGAATGCTCTTTTAAACAATAAAATATAGAAAATGAACATTTTCTTAATTACTATTCCGACACGGTTACCGAACTCGTTACCAGAAAATTCACATAGCAAATATCATTATTCTAATTGTTCATAGTTAACAAATATCGTTGTTTTGTACTTTGTTTATTTTCGTACGATTTTTTCGATGCGATTTCTCGAATGTCAAATAACAATAAAAAAGAAGTGAGCCGTACAACAGATTTACGAGTATGCGCCCGCAAAACTTTCGCGTTTGGTTTACGAACAAAAATAATAATAAACGTAAGAAGAGGGCCGTTTCGTACGGAGCCTAAATAAGGACGCTACGGTTTTTTTTTTTAATCCGGCGTCGCGCATAATAGTATTGTAATATTTGATTCGTATACTCGTATGCTGTAGACGACGAGAATTGTTCGTTTTAATAAACGGAGGCCTCGGATAAAATACGTTTTACCGTTCGACTGCGGGCCGCGCGGCGATGGAAAAACGTAATTTTTATTTTTCCTAAAGGATTTATTTCGTTGTAGTATTATATTACGTAATTTTAATAACGGTGATAGTGAAAATGGGACGTCGGGTAAAACGCATTGGTATAGAAAAAAAAAAAAAAATACCAAAAACCTTACGCGAATACACCGTGGGTGTACAAAGTTACAACATAAAAACGAGAAATATAATTTTTTTTTTTTTACTCGTAAATTTATACAAAATGTATCAGCCGTATTTTCAAATTTACTGTGCAATTACTTAAGAAATTGCCATGCTCTGCACATGCAATATTGTACCTGTTCGGTTTTTTTTTTCCGATCTTAACGAAAACCGTATTGAATAATGTTATCAGCCGCTAATATCGTCTCTAAAATTCGTGTTTTGGAATTTTTTTTTTTTTTGGCTTTTACAGCCCATTTAGGGCCTTCGTTACTTCCACTGTTTCCCGCCTCCTGACCCCATTTTCACTGTCTTCTAGCTCCGTCCTGGTGCCCCACCTTTACCAGATTTGCTTTTCATGTGTCCAACCGTCTTTTATCTAGGATGGCCTCTGGGTCTTTTACCGTTGATTTCACCAATCAAAACTTGTTTACATTATCCCTCTATGGATGCCCTGCTCATTCCATGTGTTTGCTTTTGATAAATGCTTAATTTTTGGTATTTCCTCGTTCGTTCTTTTTCGGTATTCTGCATTATCAGATTTGAAACAAAACAAATAATAACAATTATCGACAGCTAGAAAGTTGGAACAAAAACACAGATATCGCCGTAACTTTTGAACGGGAAAAGCATCGGGTAGCGGATCCGGTGGGAGGGGGGCATAGGGGCACGCATCCCCCGTATAAAATGTCGACGGACTACAGTTTTTCGATTTTCTATTTTCTATTAATTCAATTATAACGATTTATAGTTAATTTACTGAAAATATATAAATAATATATGCCTCCATTTAAAAACAATGCGCGTTGGATCCATCGCTGGTTATCCGTCGTCGGGTAGGCACTACGATATTATCATAAACGCTTTCCCAGCCGTGTACTTGCGTCGGCGAAACTCTTCCGATAACACGTCCGTATCGGTTTTTGATTCCCGGTTCCTCGTCGGACATTTATCCCGCGAGCATAATATTATACAACGCAATTTATTTGTAAGGCTAAACTTCAAGAATCGAATAACGGTTTATGGAATAATCGTCGGAACAGCAAATCCCCCCGGCCGTTTCGTTTACCGTATCGTGTAAGTATAACATTACTGGAGCGTTTGCCGCCGGTTCAAACTGTTATTTTATTTTTTAAAGAAATATTGTAATGCGCACGACCCGCTATAAATTTAAGTGTTTTTTTTTTTTTTTTCACTTTCGAGAATTATTATTATTACGAAAAAATTTACGATTTTAATTTGCATTATTACTTGTTCGCGTTCTCCTTTCTTCTTTATTTTATTATTATTATTTTTTTATTACTTTTTTTTTTTTTTGTCAAACAATAAATTATTAACTGAACAAGTTACTTGGGTATATAATAATAATAATAATAATAATAATAATAGGTACGCGTATACAGTCTAATTTACAATGTTTATTATAATTTTTTTTTTTGTATTTAGAAATAAATTAGATTTATACGGTCGTTTATTTAAATTATAATACGTGTGTTAACTTCTTCGTCGGGCTTATTTCTGTTTATTCTTTTCTTTTTTTTTTTTTTTTTTTTTTTTTTTTTGTAATCGAGTCATGTGAAAAAAATAATTAACAACCGCCCTTATAACAATATCATACAATAATATTACGCACGTAGTCGCGTTGTTCGTGCACGTTTATGTTATTTATCGCGATATTATTATAATTAATATAATATTATGAACAACATAATACGTAAATAAACATCATAATACGCGTCGTAGAATAAAATTTAACAACATGTCACCCTGACTCGCGATGTGTCAGTAACATTCGTACAACATATTATTACGAAATTTACCGGCGTGGGAGAGGCGTATTTATGAGAGCGAGGAAGGGAATGTGCGAGATGAATTTTCGCCTAAATCTTTTTTTTTTTTTTTTTACCTATTATATACTATTTAAGACGATCCGCAAAAAGTGTTTACATGCGAAAAAAATTGACTTTTTTTTTAAAATTACATTAATTGTATACATAGGTACGCACTTTTCTGCGACTGTGCGATATTTCAATTTTTATTCACTCTTGTTTTTAAAGGTTGAACGACTACAAAATTTTGAAACTTTTAAACGGCAACATATTATTATAATAAAAATACACAATGGTTTAGTTTAAATGGATTTTTTTTGTTTCCTGTCTACGAAACATTCCGCTCCTGCTTGTTTCATAAATTTATTTTTAAAAAAAAAATTCCCAAAAAATGTCAATGCTCTTCGGATTATCCAGTGTTTAAGCACTCAAATGGATTACTCTGTACATATAATTATACATTTTATGTGATATTTATTTATTTTAACAATAAAACAGATGAGACCCAAAAGACGTAGGGGTACAGTCGAACATTGAATTACCTCCTAGCTATAGCCAATAACTATAACCAATTGTGAGACGTTAACTGGATTTTCGGGTGACGTAAAAGTGGCAGAAAGTGCAGGACTAGAGGCGATTTCAGAAAGATGAGCGAACGTTGGCGCACCGTGCGCATGAGCGGTCGAGAAATGGCGTCCGAGAGCAAGGGATATGGAATGGGACGGATTGGCGTTTGTGGTGGTGATGTGGGGGGGGGAATTTACAGTCGATTAGAGAAAGGAGACTATAAGAGAATCGGTTTTATCAGAACGGATGTCGACGAGGAAAGAGAGATTGGGTGCACGTCCGGGGCGGTACACGAGAGAAGCGTCTCAAAACCGTCTCTGTCGTAACGCAAGCGTGCGCGCGAGGGCGGGGGGGAGGGATGATACGCAATCGTAATAGTATCAAAAGCGTTGAGCGGCTAAAATATCGGTGGGAAAAACGCCGCGGACGCACCGTTAGACAATAAAAAATAAGACGATAAGGGATTCGCGGGCGTACGACGAACGTTGTAACACCGTAAATAATAGACGGGCACAAGTTTGTGATGGTTTTTTTTTTTCGTTTAACAACTCACGTCGGCGCGCCTAATTTAATTGTTCAAGACTTGATTTCCTCTTAATTACTATAATATAACGTGCATCGCGTAATTTCGACGATGTTACACGATTAGCACTTTACCCACATACGCGCCCGTATAATTAATTATACTTTACGTAACGCGTGGGTGCGTGCGCGCGCGTGTATGTACGCGCCGCGGACACCTGCGCGGGCCCGTCAAACGATACGCGGCGTCGTTTCGCGCACACGAATATTACGAAACGCGAACGCCTCGTTTTCGGCGCGTAATTTCGGAAAATAATAACACGGCGTACGGGGCGCCACGGGGTGTGCAGGCGCCTGTCCTTTTTAAATATTGAAAAAAAAAAAAAAAAAAAAAAC